CCCACCCAGAAATGATTGCTGTGAATCTTGGTCTGGAAAGGACATGACTTGATTTAATACAGTTGAAGTTAGAGGCAGAACAGCAATGAAAGGATTATATTAATTGAATTATAGCCTCTGAGTGCTTTTCCCTGATAATCTAAACGTGAGATTTGGCCCAGAATAACACACTGAAGGCCCATTTACTAGTATAGTTAAAGGTCTCTTCCTACTTGCTTCTCTAACTACTGGAGGCATAGAAAGATTGTTATCTGGTCATTGGTTACATCAAAGGTTTTGGTTCTGTATTCATTTTTTAATTCATTACTTTTAGTTGAATTACACTGCAAAGTAATAAAAACATTTTTTCCAGAAATTTTGCTAAGCTTTCTCTGAACCAAGTTTTATATATAGTTCTTGAGAATAACTTGTGTTTTATCACTACTAGTCTTATCAGAACTGCCTAAGGTTTCTGAATGAGGTATATACAACTTGTCCACCATAGAACGCCTGCTTTTAAAATTATAGAATAGTCAGGTGAAAATCTGGGGTGGAGGGCTGGGGAGATGGGTGAGGGGAGCAAAAGGGAGAAATGGGGGACTTCTGTATTACTCTCAACAATAAAATAAAATTTAAAATATTATAGGAATGATCTGAGCAAAACTAAGTAAAAATAAAGGGGGCTCTGTTTCAGGACATTGACTACCCTCATAGCTGTACTCTCTGTGTTGTCACTTCTCACTAATCATTCAAACACGAAAGATAAAAGAGAGAAAAATAAGTTATGATAAAATATTACTCATTTTAAAAATCAAGAAAACTAAAACTTAAACAGACAGTTAGAGCAAAACAACTAAACACTATAAAGCAAACTGGGAAAATCACCAGAACTCTGCAAGACATTTTGTCTAAATGTTATATAATTTTTTAAAAGCACATTAAAATACATCTTTCATGGCAAGCCTGAGGTCTCCTGCAGAGCAAGCTTCTTAGCAGGAGAAATGGGAAATGAAAATTGAGGCCCCTATCACATAAACTGTGTCGAAAAATGTAAAGATTAAAAGCATTCACTTTGTAGCTCTCTAAGAAATATTCATGTTATGCAGTCCTGTCTTGGGACCCAAAGAGACAAAAGCTTGAAGGTCCTTCCAATGGAGGGCTCCTCCCTATGGGACCCAATCCCTAAGAGTCATATCCATTGAACACCTAGATTCCAGTCAGAGGACCTTTGTAAATTCCATGTCTGAAGTACTTACACTCATTTTATACACTCTAAAATCTTAATCAGAAATACTTTAGTCAACAGACTTTAACTTTATATTGAGATCTAGAGGGAGAATAAAAGACAAAACGGTAACAACTGAATTCAAAATGATTTAAAGTGATTTATTTTGATAAAGTTGCAAACACCTCACAAGTTATATGTCTCCAATTAATTTAATTAATGTACTATTTTGCTTCTGCTTGCTTCAAAAAACAATCCAACTCAGCTTCCAAAGAAAGATTTGCCTTTTATATCTAGACTGTTGAAGTATGTGTGACATCATGCCATTTAATATGTTATGTTTTCATATGTATTTTGTGACAACATATCTTTTCTTCTAATCTTAGAAATTGTATTGTGCATTAAGAGAAAGCAAAACTAAGCTGCTGAAGTTTGCATCTAATCACACTATACTACACTTACAAAAATGGGCCAAAATTAAGCTGCCAAAGTTTGTACATAACTGCATTAAATTATAGTTACAAAAATGGGGCAAAACATTAACATTTTTAATAATAGGCAAATTAATATTAACGATAGTTTATTTTAAAAATTGTGGAAAGAAAAATGCAGAAAATATTTAGCTGAGTCATTTGGAGTTAAAAGTGTGAAGGCAATGATGATTTAATCCTTTCATATTTCTTCTCCCCAAATCAAGAATATTAGAGTAAAAATCCAGTTATGTTCTGAACAAATTAAGTAAAATAATTAATACCAAGTATATTGTCAAAACAAAGGACGGTTTTTAAAAAAAAAAATGTTTTTTTAAGGAAACTTCAAGAAGAAAGGCTTAGGATAAAGGCCTTGGTGACTCCACAGCCATATTTTGACTATAAATCTTAGAACTTTTTATAGTTATCTCAGATGACTAGACTAAACAAATTCCCTGGAACATAAATAGGAGAAGAACATGTACAACTTAATTCTGATGTAGGGTGTTCTTCAAAATCCTCTTTATATGTCTTTTTCCCATCTCTTTTATTTTTATTGCATCCTGTTCTTTGGCATTTGTTTTGATTGATATTCTGTTCATTATGCAAACATCTCTCTTTAAACTTGCTTGCAAAATGATGAATAGTCTGGTTGCTTGTCATGCAAGCCCAGTCAGGATAAGCAGTTTGATGTTTCAGCCAAATTTGTTCACTTCCTACATTGCTGGTTAGGTACTGGTCATGAATACCCATAGCAACCATGGGACTCCTTTGTATAATAGCTAACTTTATGATAACATTCAATGGGCCTTTCCCTCCCAAAGTACTATTCATTTTGTGACACTGATATAACCCTTCTTACTACCGTGTTTCCCCGAAAATAAGACATCCTCTGAAAATAAGACCTAGTGCATGGAAAGATAAGACATCCCCTGAAAATAAGACCTAGCGCAACTTTGGGAGAAAAAAATTAATATAAGACACTGACTTATTTTCGGGGAAACGGTAGTTTTAAAAGTTCATATTCTGGAATCGCCTTAACTTAGTATTACAATCATGTGTCATGACCCCAGCAAATTTACTTAATCTCTTTAAGCCTTATTCATTAACTTATTCAATATTTATTGAACTATGTGTAATGGGCTCTGGGGATAGGAACTGAGTGTGATAGCTAAGGTTTTCTCATCTGTAAAATGTGGCTAATGAACTGTTTTGAGGGTGTGCGTAAATTACTTAGTACAGTGCCCAATTAATGTTCATTATTATTCGCATTATTATTTTGATAAAATTAATTTTTAACATCTATGACTGTAACCTCTAATGATTCCCAACGCATCCATTCCATTATGTTTCTGGACCCAAAACTACTCTATAAATTACTAATGTTGGAAATGATCTTTTCTAGAAATATTGAAGCAATGTGTGAGACTCAGGCACTCCAAAATACCTTTCATACTTGGTTAGCCAAGAGATCATTGCAAATCGCAATCTAGATTATGAATGGTGTTATGCCCGTATCCTCTGTGCATAGACTTGTCTAGATAATCTCCTAAATTTCTTTCCAAAATCTCCCATGTGCTTTAAAGTTTGGGTTATTAGAAAAATAAACATGTCTACAGACAGACCATCTTAAGTTTTACTTGGTTTGTATCACTAGCTTGAAAATATCAAAATACTGTGGTTTCCGCACTTCGTGTTGGGGGGAGGGGGACGGATGTGAACTCATGTCCATTGAGAAATATGGCAGTTATGCTGCATCTCATGCAACTGAACTAGAGAAGATGGATTACTGCAGGAACTGGCAAATCTTGTTGACATTATTGAAATGGTTATGGGAATGAAATGAGTTTCTGCTTATTGAACACAGCTATTTAACGGCGACAAAGAGAACCTATCAAGGCGGTGGTAGAGTTTGCATCTAGACTTTCTAAGATTATTTGTGGTCTAAAGTGACGCTTCATCAGGCTGTCTTTGACTCGGGGCTGTATAGCAAGTGAAGCACCTAAGTTTTGAAGAATCACGTTGCTTCCAATGTGTCACTCCTTTGAAATCCGTGTCCTCCCTTTTGGTTCTCTACCAGGAATAGCTGGAAACAAAAGGGCATCCTTTAAAGCAGATACTGGGCGTTCGGGAGTTGGAGGAAACCCAACACGGAGCCCTTCAAAAGGCACGTGGGACCGACCTGTCTCGGTATCACCTGGACCTCATTGGCAGGTCCGGCCCTGGACCAGCTCTCCGCCTCCCCATCTCTGCTTTGCTGGCGGGCGAGCCCGGTTCCGCCTGCGGCATTCCACGCCTCCGGCTCCAAATGAGTGCCCTGGACTCGGGAACCACCTCGGGAGCCCACTCCGCAGCGGGGAGGGCGGGAGCGAGGAAAGCCCGGGCTCCCGCTGCCACCGGGCACTCCGCGGGGTCCCCACCCCACGGCGGCGCGGCAGCAGGTACCTCCTCGGCGGCCTCAGCAACTGGTGGGCGGCCGTCCGACCGCCGTCGCGTCCGCTCCGAGGCCCCTTCAGAGGAGCCGTGCTCCCGCCCCCGGGCACCTAAGTGACTGACCGGGGCTCAGGCTCGCGCCGCCGCCGCCTCCGACGCGGCCGCCGCGCACGCGCTCCTCCTCTCGCGCGCTCCTGTCCCGGGGCGGGAACAGGGGCCGGAGGCGCCCGCACCTGCCTGAGGGAGAGGCGGCCCGCGGGCGGGCGGCTCCGGGCTCGTGCCGTCGCGCGCGCACGCGCACGCGCACGCGCCCCCAGCGCGCCCGGCGTCGGCCCCGGGGGCGGGACCGCGCGGCCGCGCGCGGGCGGGGGGCTCGTGGCGCGCGCGCCCCGCACCCGAGGGCTGCGGCGAGATATTTTGGGTGGCAGGAGGCCCCTCGTCATTTCCGCCGTGCGGTCGGTCGTGCCTGCCGGGGCTCCACTCCCGCGCGCGAGGCGAGCGGGCAAGTTGGCTGCCGGCGGGAGGGCGGGCGGGAGGCGGCGGCGGCGACGGCTCCTTCCCGTGGCGTCGCTGCCCTCGGCGGCGCGAGCCATGAACTGAAGCCCCGGAGGGACGGACCCCCCGAAGGGAGTGGCGGAGCCGCCGCCGCCGCCTCGGCTGGGACCGAGAGGCGCAGGGGTCGCGGCGCGTGTCCCCCCCGGTCGCCGCTCCCGCCGCCGCCGCTGCCCGCCTCGCGCTGAGAGACGTTGCAGCCTCGAGACTCGACACAAAAGCCGCTTTCTCCGTCCGAGCGGCCCGCCGGCGGGGCGCCCCACCTGAAGGCGGCTCGCGCAGACAGCCCAGTTGGTTTTGTGTCCGAGCTCCGCACCCCACGCAGACCCGACCCCGCGCTCATGGCTCTGATCATGGAACCGGTGAGCAAATGGTCTCCGAGCCAAGTGGTGGACTGGATGAAAGGTAAGGACCGCGGTGCGGAGGGCGAGGCAGCCCTCCGGTGCGGGGTCCGGGCGCGCGGGAGGGAAGGGACGGCCGAGCCCGCCCTCGGGGCTCCCGCAGACCGATCTAGGGGTGCGGAGGGGCGGCGGGGGGTCCCCCGGAGCTGGTAGGGGCTCGGGACCCCGCTCTCCTATTGTCTCCCGCCCGTGGCTCCCAGGCTGGAGAGGGACGCGGGGAGCGCGGGAGCATAGGGGGGTGGAAGCCCTGCTGCGGAATCCCAGCGCAATCCAGGCGCATCTCGCCCGCTTCCCGACCCCCCTGGGCGTCCCCAAACCGGGGAGACGTGCGGACCCCCGGTCTTTCCCCCCAAGGAGGAGCCCCCGAGGGACCTGCTTGGCTGATCGCCCCTGCGAGAGCCCCTTTGTTCCCGGGAAACCTGATGCCCTCTCGGTAGCCGCCCCTGCCAGGTGCCTTTCCCAGCGCCAACTCTCCTGGCAACTTTTAAGCCCACATAACGGGGTCTGGACGCAGCCGCCCCGCTTTGGATCGGGGAGCAGACCCTCTCCCCCAGGTCGGGCTGAGGATGCTCGCGGGATGTTCTACTTTTGGAGGGGAAAACGGGCTTCCCCTGGGACAGCGTCCGTGCTCGTGTCTGTGGGCTCCCTCCAGCGCATCACCCTGCATCCTTCCCCTCCTCCGCTTCTGGCCAGTTGAGGCTTTGGATCTCAGGGCTTTTGGGGGGGCTGGATGCCAGGTGAGAGGTAATGCGCATTCAAATTCCTCCTCATTTCTTCCATCTTGAAGGCTCCCCACCAACCCTTTTCCCTGGCAATTTCTAAGTGCCATACTTATACACACTCGCCCTCCTGGTCGCAATTGTGGGCTTTTCTCTAGTCCCTGGGTTTTCCTGCCTCACTACCTCCCTCTGTTGTCTGAGTTAAGGGGCCTGTAGAGGATCTCTCCCCCCGCCCCCCTTGCTCACGACTAAAGCTCTCTAACCCCCTCCTACCCACCCCCCCCTACCACCAGTGCCCTAAGATTCCTAAGGTTTTGGGAATGCTGACAGGGAATGAATGGAACTGAATAAATGACTCCTGGCCACACTTGGGAGATGTACAGCTTTGCTTGTGGTTTTCCCAGGCACAGACTCAAGGTAGATTAGCCGGGGGACCAAAGGCTTAGCATTTGTGGAAAATGTGCCTGCTGTAAGGAGAGAGCCCTTCTTAGGGCTTGCTTAGCAGGCAGACTTTCCAAGATCCAGGTACTTTAGAAGGAAAGGTGGGGGCAATTGGAAGTGATTGGGAATGCCAGAGAGAAGCAATTTTTTTTCTCTCTCTCTTTTCCCAAACCTTTTCAGCTTCTTGCTTATTCTTGTGGATTTTCCTTTATCCATTTGCTTTCCTTCTAGTCCCTTACATGCCCATGAATCCCTTGTTTACTTCCTTTTTCTTTTCTAACATATAGAAAGTGCTTGGTAACTGCAAAGCACAGTGCAATGGGAGTGTGTTTCGTTAAATGGAATTCGTGATCTATTGACTGCCCCCCTGTATGCGGTGCATTGTGCTAAGGTGTCGTGCCATGGGTGCCATGACTAAGACATCGTCCTGCAGTGGCTCATCTTTGCTATTTCTCCTCTTTTCGTATTTGCTATTGAAATTCTGCTTTCCGAGATTCCCACCAGCCTCCCCCCACCCCCTTATTATCAGATACCCACAAACATCTGTCTTCTCTGGATCTCTGTCGTGGAAGAAAGAGCAGGATATATTCAAGAAGCGAGCATTATTCCTTTAAGCCCTTTCTTTGAATTTTGCCTAAAAGGTGGCTTTAGTTGGAGTTTGTTTCTAAAATTCTCAAAGCAAAGCTGTCTTGGCTCCATGGGAGTCCGGTTACCTTCCAGACTACCTCTCAGAGATTCCCATGATGTTTGAACTGAGTGCTGCATACTCCATCTTCCTCACCTCCCACTCTCCCAGCACAGCCTTGCAGTTTCCCCTGCCTCTACAGTTCAGGTCCCCTGAAACAAGTAGAACATATGATGAACATGTTTTGACACATGTTAGTACCCCAGTACACTAGTCTTTTCAAAATCTCTTCAGCCTAAACTGCAGCTTCTTTGAAGTTAGCCTAACATCGTTAGCTGCCTTTTGAATGACTGCTATATTCAAGTGGAATGAATTTTCATACCTGTTGGTGACGTGTTTTTTTTTTTTTTAGCTATTTGAAAAGGTTAGTGAGGTTGCCAAGATGGGATTTGTGTATCCTTGTACACATTAGACTGAAAGAGATTTAACTGATGTCATCTGTACTTTTCAGGTCCAAACTGCTTACTGATGAAATTTCTATAAATTTTATAGAAATGTGATTTGAGGCATCAGAAAATGAGATTGATGAAACGAACATTTCCTCAACTTATAACTTACACCGTTATCTAATAAATTTTCCCCTTTTTACACTTTCCCCAAAATAGTTTACAAAACACATTTAGAACTACTTTTCACCCTTTCCTCAGATGCAATAATGCTTAAAAGTCAACCAATTTGGGTTGGCTTTGGAATGTTAGTCTAGCTTTGGAATGGCTAAACTTCATTTCATGTTGTGTAACATGTGTGTTATTAAGGCAGTACCAAAGAATGAACAGGACTTTGGTACTACTGAAACACTGTGGAAGTTAAGCATGCTCCTAATATAATGGTTTCATCATCCTTAATATTTAAAGCATATAGCATATGCATTCAACTAGTTCCAATCCTAAATAGTTACAACTCAATATAGTAATGCACATGATTTATGCTCTTTCTAGGGTAGTTTTCTCTTTCGTAAATAGAAAAGGAACCATTAGGCACATAATAGGAGAGACATACATTTATACTCCCAGACAATTTATATAAGTGGTCTAGAAACTCAGTAAGCAGAGAGGGAAAATGAAGGGGGCGGGAAACAAGCTGACAAGAATATTAAGCTGTGGTAGCATATATTCAAGATTATTTATAAAGGACCAGTTATACATTGCAATTCATTTTGACCTGCTACTTGTTATTATTAAAGTATATTTAAGGGAGACAAAAATATTAAATTTATGTATTAATTATTGGTGAAGATATAAGGAACCACTTGCATTTTTGCTCACCCCAAATTCCACTATTTGTAAAATATAATACAGAATTTTCTGTTCACAATGAAAATTTGATGTGACAGTGTCAGTGTTAGTTCCAGTAAATATAGGAACTCTTCATGAGTCAGTAAAATAAACAGTTATATTCCAGATTATCGTGATGGTACCTCAGGCTATTTGAAAATATGGTATAGACCTTAAAAATGAATTTTACAAAAAAAAAAACTTTTGAGAAAATCAAAATCACTTAGCATTTGAAACTAAATTTCTTTTTTCAATTAGAAATTGCATTCAGTCCTCTTGTGGGTTTGATAAAAATTTAAAATGTAAACCTATTTACAGTAAATAAAAGCAAAGCAGTTATTGAAGAAAGCTATAGGTAGAAAAGTAGGCCAATAACTTTCTAATTTTTGCTCAGTCTGTTAGTCTAAAATAATTTCTATATGTTCACTTACAAAGCATGGAAATGCTTCATAATCTACAGATATTTGAGTCTCCATTTTTATCCTTTGAATGATAGTAAAATCCTCGGAACCCTTTAGTGCGTCTATTATTAATATTATGATTAATTTTCCTTGCCCGTGTTACACCCAGTAATTCCAGTTTTTTTCTCACACCTTTTCTAACATTGAAACACTTCCAAAATATCCACTTGACTAAGATAAAGTTATCTTCTAGAACCAGCTCCTTTCATGAAATTTTCCCAGTGATCTTAATAATCCTTTTCTGGATCTAATGAAATGAGATTTTTTTTTTTTCCAGAGTCAACCAACATGCCCTGCTTTATTACTCTTTTCTTACGGTCTCTGTAACTTAGCTCCATCCATTCTTGTATTATTGTGATTCCTAAAATAATCTGAATTTTAAAGATAGCCTCTTCTCAGAGCATCCCACAATTAACTGCTCTACTTTTCCCCGTTTACTATAAACCATTTTCTGTAAGAAGCGTTCACTGACTTCCAATTTCTGTCCCGATGACTCAGCCATCTTGAGGATAGAAAATGAAATACAAAAAAAGAAGAAGAAAGAAAATGAAATACGTTATTTTAGGTATAAAAAGCAGAGATAAAACCAACGTTTGCATACAACCCTACAAAAGAGGGAAATGCAGCTATGAAATAAAGTCTATTTAGTATAAATCTTAAATTCTATAAAGGAGATTGTATCTGAGAAGATGAAGTTTTGACAGATACAATGCTTTTCAATATTTTCCCCCTCATAGAATCCAGAGATGAGGTTGACATATATATTAATTGGATGAATGAAAATGTCAAAATTTTGAATTAAACATTCTTGAGAGAGAGAGATCAGAAATAATTCTGACAGGAACTTGAGGAAAAGATATGATCAAATTGGTCATATCACTTCCTTTTAAAAAATTAGTTTTATTCTGATTTTCAATGTGACCAGACAGTCACCAACAATTACCTACTTTGAATTTGACATTTTTGGAATGGGAATTCTTGTCATTTTATCCAAAAATGAAATTTACCTTTTCAATATGTAAAGTTTAGTTCACAAGAAACATTATTTTATTTATAGCGACATTAACGTCTGCTCTTTAAGTTAACACTCAGGATTAATGCAGATTAAGAAAAAAGAGTATGTGCATATGTATATGTATATGTATTCTCGTCCTTATAATGAACTCGGTACTTCTTTATGGAAGTATTTTAATGGATTGTTTTAAATAAATTATTCCCTGCTTTGGGGGAAATTAATCTCTGTAAGGATTGGCAGTGACATTGACAAACCTACGCCAAGACAGAGACGGGTACCAAATGTGATCAAATATTTTGTAAGTGTTATGGTTTCATATGTATACAATCGCCAGTGAAAAGTGAAGATGATGATTTTACTAGATAAGGAAAGATCCATAGGGAAGGTGGTATTTTAGCAACTGCTTAAG